CAGACAACCTCTCGTCAATATGCGTTTTTTGCATTGCATTGCTGCAAAAAACGCATAAAAATCAGCTTCGAGGAACACATCCAGAAATATCGTAAATATCCGGGTAAATCCGCCAGAGATCTTGCGCCACTGGGTTGTTCCGGTTAGCCAAAACAAGATGCCACTAGACCTCTAGTTTTTAAGAAATCCAGGCCCACAGAGTCCCAACGTCGTCGAAAGTCCAGTCCTGGCAAAAGCAAAAAATATCAGCTCCGAGGGGCACATCCAGAAATACCGTAAATATTCGGGTAAATCCGCCGCGCTGTGGATCCATTAGAAATCCAGGCCTACAGTGTCTCTGGATCGCCGAAAGTTCAATCCTGGCAAAAGCAAAAAGATCGGCTCTGAAGGATACATCCGAAAATACTGTAAATATCCGGGTAAATCCGCCTTTGCGATGGTGCAGACCCACTGATTCGTACGCATGGTGTCACGTGGATGAGAAAGGTAGGAGATCGAAAAAATGAATGGAAACATTGCCAACTGCAATGTTGGCGCGGGACAGTACAACAGTGAAAGCACCACTTCATCAAGTACCAGACAAGCTGCTGCGGACACACACACACACACACACACACATGTACACACATACACACACATACACATACATACACATACACACATACACATACACACATACACACACACACATACAGATACACACACATACATATACATACACAGACAACCCCGTGACAATATGCGTTTTGTACTGCTGTTACACATCACAAAACACGTAATATCCAGGTGACATTCAGATCCCCAAAAATATCCAAGGGTCATTTTCTCATGAGAAGTAGCTTCGCAGCTCTCACTGCTTGTGTTTATGATTTTATTTCAAAGCCTTTTTCACATGACTCCCACTAATCCTTCCATTTTTTCCAAACAAACGTAAGCAGTAATCGCTTGGAACGACTACTACAGATTCATAAAAGTCTTAAAAAATCAAAATGTAATGTAAGCTGAAGAAAGACCACATTTTCTCCTCCTCTCCTCTCTCACTCTGCTTGCTCTCTCTCCCTCTCTGATTTCTTTTTCCTTCACACATTTGTCTTGCAAATTAGTCACATGACTGTTCCGAACATGACGGGTAGGAGGCTGTACTGATGATTCCCGCTCCGACCCGCATGTACTGCTCTGTCTGTGTTTACAGCTAAGGGATGAAATACAAAGACTGCATCGTAAAATGCCCTCCGACACATGACATTTAAGACCAATCCTTCTATTATACTATTTCGACAAGGCCTCCCGAAATGCGTTCCTGCATTTTATCTGTCCTGACCTGTGATCCCGGGTCTGAGTTAACCCGTTGTAGTGATCCCAAAGCAAACAAGAAAATTATAGAACGAAAGTGCTACATTCGACGGGTTTGCCAGCAATCCGATCGTCATCTGATCAGGATTCCCAGTGGCATCGCGGTACCACTCAGTGACATCGGGACCCGGTGTAAGAGTGGCTCCCGCTGAATGATTTCCCCAGATAGCACCTGTCAACCTCGACCACTCCTTACCCCCCCCCCCCCCCCCCCCCCCCCCCCCCC